TTCTCTTTCCATATATCCCACCAGACTGAATTTGTCCAGCATTTTCAATTTTTTGCAGATTTCCATCATCTGCAATACTTTTTTTGCTTTATCCTCACTTTGACATTTTAATAGAAGGACATATGTTTGAAGCAGCTAGAAATGGTCGGGCCTCTGACATGACACAGAGCAGTGGTATTTGACCTCCAACATCCACAATCTTCATGTGCAAGTTGTGAATCTCGACCAGAGGAGAGCTCTTCCACTCTCCTATATCTATTGACTCCAGATTTGCTAAAGCTCCTTGATACCGTGCTACACTGTCAAATGTTATATTGATGCCAAGGACAGCTACTCTTCCCTTCCCTTTCTTCCTTTGAATTCAGTTCTTTTTGTCTACTTTAATCATGAGTACACTGACAGGACAGTAATTGACTATATCAAATGTTGTCTATTCCATTTTTTATTTTTTTTTTTGAAAGGCTTCACAATGGTTTTGATGCAACAGAATGGTTTGCTAGGCCATTTCAGAGGGCAGTTCTGAGTCAAGTGAATTGTTTTGATCTGGATTTGCATGTAGACCAGACCATGTTGATGTCATTTGATGCAATCTGGTTCAGTTTTTAAAGCTGTAAAGGAAAGGGATGGCTTAAACAGCTAGATTTGACACTTAGTAGTCAGGTGGGTAGAAGAGTTAAAGTGGATGCTGCTGTTTTTGGGGGTTTTCCTGGATTGTGTTTTCCAGTGACATGACTTGGGTTGCACTCTGCACTTATGCACTTAGTGTTTATAACATTACCAGCAGCACTCCGAGTAGCTGCCAGTATCAACGATTACACAGATGTAACTCTGAAAAGAACAGTTTTCACTACCTCAGCTGCTTGGGAGGGGATGGTGGTGGGAGGTAAGTGGGATCAAAGAACAGTCTCAAAATGACTCCAGGTGGTGTCAGGAACAATGAATTTGTTGGCAATCTGGGTGCTGTTTCTGATCTGAAGTCCGGAGTTTCTTGTTTAATGGAAATGGTATTTGAAGAAAGTGTGCAGAGCAGTTTAGAGGGAAAATTACTAATCGCTACTCTTTTTTTTTTCAGGTTCTGATTGACATCACTGACATTGGAGACACAAAGCTGAAGCTAATTCGTAAACCACTGATGGAGACTGAAGATCCAAGCAGCTCAAATATCAAAAAGAAGAAGAAAACCCTTTTGAACTGTAATACCAGCTTCTTTACAGGATACCCTTCAATCCCTGAAGCACTAGAATAAGTACCTCTTTTTCTGTAAATAATTTAAATTGTGCTAGTTTGTTTTATTTGTTTGACTCCACCATTCCAGGAAGTGAATTCCTGTACTGTAACCTATGATTTTTCTTGGGACCACCATGATTGTCTTTGTCTTTTTATTCCTGTTTTCTCCTGTCTTTTTCTTTTTGCCATCTTAGTTATTTGTGTAATATCTAATAAACTGTCTAGAAATTAAACTATTTGATGTGGAAGAGTTGAGGGGGTGGGGGAAGAAACAATTGATTATCAAGAAGTGGAACATGAGTTTTTTTTCTCTCTCATTTTGCTGTTCTTGACCAGGGTGTGTTGAACAATTGCTCATAAGTTTGCATTCTGGTTACAAACCAGACTATAACTTGCGACACAGACAATTAGTGTTATTTTGACAGACCTTTTGGACATACATTTGTTTCTTCCACATTGGAAAATAGATTTAGCATTTTAATTTTTAACAATAGTGTACTATTCCAAGTATTGAGTCTATCTTGATAGTTTCCTTCATTGCAGGAAGGAAAAAAACATGGCATTTTTGTCACTCCAGCCCCCATCTGAATGTCTTGTATGGAAGAATGATGTAAATTTAAAATCTTTGCAATGTAGGCAATTTCTCATCTAATTATTCATAACAAAATGTGAAATTAATCAAATAGAAAATGACTAGAAATATGCAGTGAAGCAGGCCTCAAAGTACAAATTCACCACGAGCGGTGAAATAAAATGTTCAGGAATGACTAGTTTGAGACTTTTATAGTATTTAATTTTCTGATTTATGGATACTTAATTGTTCTGTCTGTGTGAGTGGTTCATTAGTAATTTTTGGAATACTAAACCAAATGTTTCAAATTTGTAATTACAGGAAAGTGATTTAAGTCAACACCATGATGCCATACCATCACCTCTCTTCACAGTTTAGTCAGGAACTGAGTTCCAAAAACATTTTAATAGTAAAGCTTGTGATCCATGTAGAAGTGTTAGCAAATTTTTTCTTTTTCTGGAAAAAGCTGAGAGACATGCTCCCTTTCTGTTGAGATTTGTTTTTTCTTCTATATGTAGTAAGTTTACAATACATGTACATGGAAGATGAGCTTTTTAAGAGAAATTTATTTCCACAAATATGACTGAATCTTCTATGGATATAGTTGTCTGTTTCCTGCACTCTTTTTTATTTTTTCCTTTTTTGATGTAGTTGATAAATAAAGAGAAGTGATTTAGAGTTCTGACTGGCTTCATATTTGCACATTTTTTAAATAGAAATGGGCATTTTAAGTATAACCTTGCAATTGATTTCACTAATGTTTTTTAAAGAAAAAAAAAATTTCTCTTTTGAAAGGGAAGCTGTCATTGCCCTTTCCGTATCATTGTGTTCAGATTGAGTTTGCAATGAAGCACATGCAATTTTTCAGCTAAGATACCTCCTCTGTTTCTGTTCACTTATTCTTGCACATAACTTTTTTTGCATTTATTTATTTTATGAAATTGAAATAGTTGCAATCCAAGTGACCTTGGTGTCTTGTTATGAATGATACTCTAATTTTGTTAGACATGCTTCAAGGCCAATAGAATGTTGAACTACATTACTTTTTTTGACTTAAATTCTACTTTTCTGGTTATGTTTACACTATTTTTGTAGTGCTTGCTCCAATTTACTGGGTGACTTGTGTATAAGACTATTAAAAAATATTTGACACTGCTCACATTGACCTTTTCCTACAACTTCCCCAGAACCCTTGATTCCCCAACTGATCATGCACCTAGCTCTTGGTCTTAAGTAACTTTGAGGACGCTGCCCCTATTGTTCTCTATGGGAATCTTTGGAACTCCTTGCCAATCCTCCTATTGGTCTCAAATTAGCACTCCTTTTATTCTGCAACCAAGCCCTGTTGTCCTAGACTCCCATGAAAGGAAACATCCCCTCAGCATTAGCCCCTTAAGAATCCTATGTTTCAATGAGGCATATCTATAATGGAAAACACATCTGCAGTCCTGCTACATCCAGTTAAAGGTAGTGAACAATGAAACAACTGCAGGAAGTAGCTCAACAACAATCCCCATCATCACTGATTAAAGTTTAGCCTATCAATGCAAAAGATAAGACTGAAGCATTCACAAAAATCTTCAGCTGGCGTTGCCAAATGGATGATCTATTGCAGCCTCCTCAATCTCCAGCATCACAAATGCCAGTCTTCAGCCAACTCTTCTAGATGATGGGAAGAAACTTTGAAGGCACTGGATATTGCAAAGGCAATGGTTCTGACACTATTCTGGTGATAATACTGAAGACTTGTGCTGTGACAACACTAGCCTATACCTGACAATGTGGAGAATTTTTTATGGCAAAACGAAGTTTATTCGTTTATGTACAACAGTTACTGAAGCATTTCTGTACACTCTCTTTGCCTATGAATAATAAGCAAACATGGGAATTTGACATTCTATGCAGTTGCAAGAAAACCCTAAAGTGTTTCTTTCTTAAAGACTTTATTTACATATACCTGAGGTATAGACAGGATCACCATTGTACTTTGGTAGAAAGACCTTGAATGATGGTCCTTGCCCAAAATGTGGAAAACTGCCCAGATATATCCTGTACCCAAGCTGGACAATCCACTGGGCCAATAACTGCTCCATTAGTCTACCCTCAATCTGGTTCAAAGTGGAGGGAGAGAACAGGGCTACATGTGATCTCTTGTCTGAAACCACTTTCTTTCTTTTGTTTTAGTTTTAGTTTTATTTCTGCTCTTTTGCTTTATTTTTCTTTTCTGTGGCACATTGGTTGGCAGCACTGGTATAGTAGCAAAACAAGGTGCATGTGTAGTGGTGGATGTGGCTTCAAGCAATAGGCGGCGACATTGAGAACATTCTTCTGGTGATCGGAGGCAGCAAGGACGTTCCCCTGTAACAGGAGGCCAGGGACAGTGAGTTAGTTCTCTCAGCATTCGGGGCCTGTGGCAGCAAGTCTCCTCTGTGTGTGTGAGAGAGATGATGCCAGCAGCAGTGGACTCTGCCAGTGTGACATCTGCAGATGAAGTGGAACTTGTAGCCTGGCAATGGTGCTAGGGGGTCACGGTTGCAGGGTGAATGTGGGTTAAGTGGTGTCAATGAAGTGGGCCCAGTGACAAAGATATGGTGTCGACAGTGGGGTAACTCCTATGGTGCTGGTGCTGGGTCTGGCAAAGGTCGTGGCAAGGAAGTGGTCTCCCTGACAGGTACAGGGTTGGAAAGACTGATATTGTTAATTTTTTCTTCCTTTATATTCAGAGGAATAAATTAGAAAAACAAAATGCTAGACTACTCATTTTCTTTACTCTTTTTGTTTCCTATGTATTTTATCTTCACTATCTGTACCTAAAGATGGTGCTGTGATGCAGCGACTGTAAACTTTTCACTACTCATTTGAGTGGCTGTGACAATAAAGCTAATTCAATTATCAGTAAAACGATGGACAGTGTCGTCAATAGTGCTGAAAAACAGAACCGTGGGTATGAGAACACGGTGGTGTGTGAAGTGGCAGTCAACGGGAAGCTTGACAATATTGACGGAAGCCTTATGTTCTCGGGATTTATCGGGCTTCCCACAACGAGCCCCTCTACCCAGACTCAGCCCCAAACCCTGTCTTCAGGCCCCGCCTCCACCTACTGCCCCCGCCCCTACACTTAGGCCGCGCCTCCACCAATGGTCCTGCCCCCGTCCTCAGGTCCCGCCTCCATTCCACCGTATTTTGATTGAAAGCGTCACCGCCGAGTTCAAATTGTAGTCACGTGATTAGCGGTCGGCAGTAGGTCACTGCGGTTCCTGCACCGAGTGGTGGAGGTATCCCGAGGCAACGGTTAGTTTGTCGTGGCTGTCCTGGTCCTTTCCCGGCTGTGGTCAGCCTCCTGCCCGGAATGATGTTGATCTGAGCTCCAGGCCTTGTTTTCCAGAAATCCGGAAAGGTTGCGTTTCGGGAAATTTCCTTTTCGATTCCCCCTCCCGCTTCTTTGCCTTGTTTACTGCTTTATAAACAGACCCGTGGCGTTAGTGTGTGCATGTGGCCAGCCCAACTCAGCTTGGAAGGAAGGTCATACCCCTCTCGGTATTTCTGATAACTGGCATTAAAGTAAGTTTAAATTGCTGCACTTTAACAGGCTGCGGCCTGTGTGCTGGCCGGATTTTTACGCAGATGTTTTATTTGTTTTTTAAAAACAAGTCGTGGAAAAGCTTGCGGCTTTAAAGGGGACAGATTATGGCTGCTCCTCAGACATTTTCTGCTGATGAAAATTGAATGTTTACAATAAAATCGAGGAAAGGAAATAGATATTTTAAACGGCAAATTGTTGAAACATCAACTAAAGACCTGGAATGTGACGTTTGAAGGAGAAGAAATAATTCTTTGCTGACTTTCGCTAATTTTAGAATAGGATGTGACATTAAAAGGCCAGGCAACTGACTGAAAATGGTAAATGTGGGTCAGCACAATAATGGCATAACAGTAGAAATCGAAAGAACTGCAGCTGCTGTAAATCTGAAACAAAAACAGAAATTACTGGAAAAGCTCAGCAGTTCTGGCAGCATTTGTGGAGAGAAATCAGAGTTAATGTTTTGAGTCTGGTGACCCTCGGAACAGAAGGATTTGATGAACACTCTTTACTGTTTAAGATTTCCAGCATCTGTAAGTTTCTTTTGTGTTAATTCATTATTGTTTACTGTTTTGCTATTGATGGAAGGATTACAATGCCAATTAATTTCATAAGAAACTCCTGTGGTTCCTTGACAAAAGAAATAGAAACAGTAGACTGATTGACCTCCCTAGCCTGCTGCACCATTCAATAGGATTATGGCTGCTCTGACATTCATCACATCCACATTCCTGTGTTTTCTCTGAAGTCCTTGATTTCCCTACTGATCAAGATCTTAGTCTTAAACACATGCAAGGACACTGCCCCCACAGCTCTCTGTGGCAGGATATCCAAAGACACACAGTCCTCTGAGTGAAAAAATTCCTCCTCATCTCAGTCTTAATTGACACTCCTTTATTCTGAGACAATGGACTTTGGTCCCATCTCTCCCATGAGGGACAAGCATCCTCTCAGCATTTACCCTGTCAAGCTCCTGAAGAATCCTGGATGTTTTATTTTCTCTGAGTCTTCCAACAAACATTAATCTTCAGATTGTTCTCTCAACATCCTGGAGTTCTTTAGCATGGAAAACTCAGACCAAATATGTGAAAGACTGTGACTTTTGTGGGATGGAAGTCATTGGTATATGTTGAAGAGAGCTGATTTGAGGACTGATCCTTGTGGGAGCATGTTCAGTTATGTGTGGGAAGCTAATTTGATTTGAAGGTTCACATGGAACTGTCTGATCAGGTAGGTGATTAGTTAGAATTCCTGTAATGTGGAAGCAGGCCATTCGCCCATCAGATCTACACTAACCCTCTGAAGAGGATCCTACCCAGGCCCCCACCCCTGTAACCCTGCATTTCCCATGGCTAATTCACCGGGACTGTACACTTTGGAGCAATTTAGCATGGCCAATTCACCTAACTTGTACATATTTGGATTGTGGGAGGAAACCGGAGCATCCAGAGGAAACCCATGCAGACATGGAGAACGTGCAGACTGCACACAGGCAGTCGCCCAAGGGTGAAATCGAACCCAGGCCCCTGGTGGTGTGAGGCAGCAGTGCTAACCAGTGAGCCATCATGCTGCCCCAAGAGATGCCACGAGGATGGAAGTAGCTGTAAGGTTTTGGGGAGTTTCAATAGTCTACCTGTGACCTGCGCTGTCATTGGCACAAGATAACTCACTAAAAACTGTTCCTGTCTTCAATCACATCACAAGTGAAGTCTCAGGTATCAATTTTCAAAGAAAATTTGGATAAACTTCAACTGTTTGAGAATGGTCAGAAAAAATATGGCCACTTACACCACAAATGAAACAAGGAAAAACTCAAATTGGGACTATGGACATCCAAATCAGACTATTGCGCACATACTGAACACCTTCCTTAAGAAATCATTCCTAGTGGCCTCACAAGTGTTCATGATGCACTACCTGAAGTCATTGAATTGATTGGTAACTTTGATATCAAACTATAACTGTTTGCCCAGCCAAGCAGAAAGGAAATAAAGTAGGGTTATGAAATTCACTTGAGATACTAAGTGCTCAAACAAGGAAATGGAAAATTGAGCAGAATGTGGATGAGCATTTGTGGTTGTTAGGGACTGGCTTGTGCAATAACCTATTGGCTGGAGGTATTGATTTGCTTAATTGGTTGGATGGCTGGTTTGTAATGCAGAGTGATACCGATCACATGGGTTCAATTCCTCCACCAGGTTACGATGGAAGACTCCTTAGCCTCTCCCCTTGCCTGAGGCATGGCAGCCCTCAAGTTAAACAATCACTAGTTGTCTCTTTCTGGTGAGAGAACAGCCCTATAGTCTGGTATGACTATGGCAACTTTACTTTCAAGTTCTCTCCAAGAAGAACAGTCACAATTTTTCCAATCTATCCTTGTAACTGAAATGCCTCAGCCATGTTGTAAATGTTTTCTGCACTCTCCAATGCATTCAAATCTTTACTACAGCTCAGAACAGTACATTATACTCTAGTTGAGGTCTAACATTTGGTTTATGCAAGTTCAGCATAACCTCCTTGCTCTTGTGCTCTGTCCCTATTAATAAAGCCCAAGGTACTGTGTCAGTGGGAATTATAAGCTCAGCTCAACCCAGCCCAGCTTTCTGGATAGACCGTAAGGTGCCTAATTACACCCAAGTTGAAGGAAGTCTCATTTCTTTCCACTTCTATTTTGAATATTATTGATTTTACAATTGTTCAAAGGATCAAATACAATCAAACCAGTAAGAACACTAGTTGGAGAACAGTAAATGCACTTGAGTTGCTCATTCTGGTGCCACACCTCAAAATATGTACAGATAATTTTGCGACAATGTGGCTAGGGATATTTTGCACTCCTTTGCTATGTCTAATTTTACACAGTGTGCAGGATTTACAGAAAAAAATGAAGATGCAAATGGATGACCAGCTTCCTTATGACTTTGGTTATTGTTTTCAAACAGTAAGGCATTTGTAAAACAGATGTCCTACAAGATTTGACAGAAGCAACATGCTTATAATACTTAGTACTGAAAAATGTTTAACAAGATAATGAAAAGGAAAACTAACAATAGAGCAATAATGACTGGCTCAATGTCTCCGTCAACATCATGTGCAAATTATCTGATGGTTACCAAATTGCTGTTTGTGGGAGTTTGCTAGATAGAAATTAATTGCTGTATTTCCTATATTTATAACAGTCAGCACACTTCATTTGCTATAGGATTCTTTGAAACATCCTGTGATTGAGATGGGCGCTACTTAAAAATTCAGGTTTTGGAATAGTTGCTTTGCATTCTGAAATTTTGAAGATTGTTGAGTGGGTTATTTATTTTTGTTTGCATTTTTTTAAAATTTTGTAGAAATCAGGGCCTTGGAGCATACTACTGAAGATACCAACTTATAAATTGGTTCATTGTTTATATTTTGCAAACAGCAAATTTTAATCTTATTGCAGCTGTGTATCATTCCATGGTTGACTCTTTCCTGAGGTGGCTATTTTTATGTGTGTAAATAATGTAACAAATGGTATGAAAAAATGTTCAAGAAACTACTTCCCAGTTAAATTGAAAAAGCACAATGGTCACAGGTTCAAATTGACAAAACAAAAGCAACTTTACAACTACTGCATCATTCTTATTGCAAACTGTTCATTAACGGAGGCAAAATTTTTTGAATATAAAGCAGCAACTTGATTTTATGATGAGTAGGATGTAGGTTCTGTCTGGATGAGTGACACAAAAAAGGCTGAATCACTCTTCTGTTTTGTATCTAGTAAATTTATGACCTCTTACAATGTAGTATTCAGTAAAAATGTTTAGCCATTCACAGCAGTTTCCAATTGTATTTGCAGATTTTAGTGGATTCTTTCAGAGATTGTAAACCAATGTCAAACCGAGTATACGCAGACCCAAAAGGCAATTATGATGACTATCAGTATCCAGTAGTATTCTTGCCACCATATGAGAATCCACCTCCATGGATCCCTGTGCAGGAGGTAAGCGTGTTGCTTCTGTTCAATTTTTAGAAATGTTGTGCTTGTGACATCCCCATTGTGGTACTGAGTAATAGAGTCAAAAATGCCAGATTTGATACCTGATCTTTTTGTGTCAACTAATCTTGATTGGTGTAGTAACTGGGATTCTAAAATTGACCTTGGCACAATCAGACCAAGGATGATTAACAAAAAAAAGACTGCTAGGTCTCTCACCCCTGAAATTAGATATTATGCAAGTTAGGATGCAGTCAGCAAAGTAATTCTGCAGTTTATGGATTGTAGAATTTGGGAGATCAGTCAGTAGTGTACATTGGGATAGCCAAGTCTAGAGTTTTTTTTTAAATTAATGAGGGTCTCAGCAGGTGAGCTGAGGCAGCTATAAAATTGGCCAATATTATGGAAGTGAAATTGGCATGGTTCGTAGTGAAAGTAAGTGGTCAGAAGCTTGTCACTGGGTCAAATATGACCTCAACTGTTCTGATTTTGATGCCAGGAAGAGTGATGGAGATTTTGTGGAGACTGGAAAAATGACTTCAGTCTTCCCATTTTTTATTTGGAACAAATTTCTGCTCCTGCAGAAAATCAGGATGTCAGATAATCAGTTTGATAACTTAACGATCGGAGGAGTTGGGAGGGGTGTTAGAATACATTTCAAAGCTAACATTATATTTTGAGAAGTCTCCTGAAATGTGTGTCAATGAGAATTGAGTGGGTTCGAAGGATAAATTATTTGGGTACACCAGAGGCTTTTGGGAGCTCAAGAAGAAGCCATCCCAAGAGATACATTTTGGTTATAGTGGAACAAGGTGAGAACAGTCTCATCCAACTGGATGGGAGCAGAGTGGTCAACCACGTCAAGAACAACAGACCGATCCAGAAGGACAAGGAGAGATGGATTGGCTTTGTTACAGGCCATTTGTAACTTTTTGATAAGTGTAATTTTGGTATTGTAAGCGGCAAAATCTTGATTGAAGGAATTTGCACATGGCATACTGGAAAGATTGGCACCAATTTACGAGATGGTAACATCTGTGAGGACCTTTGGAAAGGAAGGAAATGTTAGAGATCAGATCGCAGTTTGCAAGGTGTCAAAGGTTTGTTTTTGAGAAGAAAGTGATGACTATAAATATTTTCTAATCAGTTTGTTCAAAGACATTAATGTATTGTGGAACGGGCTTGAATCCAGGCCTCCTGGCTCAAAGGTAGGCATGCTACTGCTCTGCCCTCAAGGGTGATGATTGTAGATTTAAAGGAAAGATGGACAACACCTGGAAAAAAAAAAGTGCCAGCACAATTTTGATCAATATAGGGACCCAGAGGTTAAAGTAGGTGGTTGTCAATTTAGGGAATAGAGTCGAGGAAGAAGAAATTGGATATTGTGGAAGAAATGTGCTTGCATGTGTGTTGGGAATATCACATTCATAATTTATGTTTTTGAATGTAACATTTGGTTTCAGGATTTAAGAGTTTAACTGTAGATGAGTGGGGGTATCAAGTTAAGAAACTGGTAAACAAATGTGATACAAACGACCATACATTTATTGCATTTGAAACAGCCTGTGATTATTCAGAAAGTTCAGAGGTGATGTGGAAACGCTTTTAAGTGACTCATTGTTAGGCTTGTGGTAGAGCCAGAGGGTCACCATTTACTTCAGTTCAACTGAAAATTTATACTTAATTTAAAGGAGGAGAGAGATTGGAGTAGTTGGTCAACAAGGGAGTTGTTTGCTTGAGGTAAAGTTCTGGACAAATGATTGCAAAATCTACTGGCTATATAAATTATTCATTTGGGTGACAGAATCCGTGTTGGAGAAACTCAGCAGTTCTGGTAGCATCTGTGTAGAAAGAGTTACTATTTTAAGTCCAATGACTCTTTAGAACTATCTTGGTCACAGTTTTTGATTTGATGTAGACTGTAGCTCACTAGATTGAGGGAGCTACTGTGTCTTATACAAATAAAATGTTAAAGTTATTGTCCACCATGTGGAGTGTGAAGTGGCTGAAGCTCATCTTAATTATCATGAGGAAAATTCCTGTAGTTGTCTTGAGCTTTCTGCCATAAGGCTTTGTTGAATTAGCTTGAAAGGCTCAGAATGTGGTTGGGTATCTGCCAGCAATCAGAACAAGAGGCTAAGACATCCTCAGTCATGAAGCCTTAGAGGAAAGTTGGAGCATTGCTTAACTAAAACCTTAATGGAAAGGCCCTCAAAATATTATACTGCTGAGAAAACTGGAACACTGAGGGACACTTAAGTGCATTTTGGAGAGTGGTAACATACTTTTGCGTTGCTGCTGAGAAACATAAATGTGCTTTTGAAATCTTGATTCAATCTTGGATGGAAATAACAAGGAGTATTAGGTTTATAGCATAGGTCTTTAAGCTATATTGGTAGCTTAATGGAGTTTGCTTTATATACAATAATTTTTAAATTGTTTTAAAACAGTGAAATCTTGTGTAATTTAGTTCAGCTAATTGCTAGGAGTTCGGATTTCTCTTCAAATGTTAACGGTCTCCAAAGGGATCAAGGTACGTGCTTTACTGTGGTCAGTGATGGCGCAAATTAGGTATGAACCTGATTTTTGATTTTTCAAGGAATGAAGAATATGTTTCTATGTGAACATTTTAAAAATTGAAACTGATTTTTAATTGATTCTTTTAGCGGTTACATCACTCAGATTACAACAATGAACTGACCCAGTTTTTACCTCGAATAATCCAGTTGAAGAAACCCTCTGGGGCTCAGGTATTAACTCTTCATACCTAAGTGTGTATTTGTAAGTTAAAGGAAATCATTAAGCTTTGAGTGCACTGTTTTCTGTGGATGCGGTGTATCAGCTTTAATGTTAATCTTTTTACATAACTTTTTTACCCAATAATGGTTGTGTTCTCAACCAGTTTAAAAAGATAATTTAATGGATTGCAAAGGCTTGATTTGGTGTACTGCAGGTTGGCAGTGATTTACTATAACTGCCCCAGGCAGTGAGTTCCTCGGTTTGATACCCAGGGAATTGGTTACTACTCCAACAATGAGGAAGAAAAGAATGTCTGAGATAACCCCCATCATACAGCATGCTTTCCAACCTCCCATTGCCTAATAAATTTGAATAAGTTGCTGGGAAGACAGTTCCACCTTGGTTTAATGCTGGTAGGGGTTCTTAATGAAATAAGTTTGAAGTAGCCACATCTTTGTTCTTAGAGGAGTGAACTGTTTATAATTTAATACTAACTTCCTTTGAACGATGCTCCAATTTGTCTTTTTTTTTGATGTGGACACTTGATTGAGTTGACTTGGGGAGAAGGAAATGCGTAGCTGAAAATTCGCCCTCATTGAGAGTACAGCCCAAAGTTGATCCACTACAAATTAAAACAGTGGCAATGCAAAATGGTATTTTGGTATTGTAACTGATCCAGCCGACAGTGCTAAAGCTGATTGTCAGCCAGGATATTAATTGTTGCAGTGAATACTAGGCAGAACTTTATCGAAGGATTAACATAATGCTGTCTTGAAAATTCTGTAAATCTGATGTTTCACAAACTTAATTGTGTTTTTGTTTTTTGCAGCTGGGATTCAACATTCGAGGGGGCAAGGCCTCTCAGCTTGGCATCTTCATATCGAAGGTTTGTATTCATGATTCAAATATGCCACAGTTTTATGTTCTTCTCTTAAGTATTATGCCCAAGCTAGAATCTTAGAGATTTTCATTGACCAAGTAAAAAGGCATAGGACTGCAGCCTGATGGCTAAGGAGTGACAGCTATTCAGGGAATAGCTTGAGGAATTCTGGAAAGAAAACTCAGTTGTTTAATGTGTTAAAATGTAGCTGATGGATGGAAGTCTCTCTTGTCCACTGACATTGAGAGTCTGCTATGAAATGAATTTGGATGGTCTCAGTTTTTTTTTTCCCTTTATTCATTCATGGGATGAGGATGTTGCTGGCTAGGCAGCATTTATTGCCTATCCCTAATTGCCCAGAGGGCACCACATTGCTGTGGGTCTGGAGTCACACGTAAGCCAGACCAAGTAAGGATGGCAGTTTCCTTCCCTAAAGCATATTAGTGAACCAGATGGGTTTTTCCCAACGGCTTCATGGTGACCATTAGACTGTTAATTCCAGATATTTATTGAATTCAAATTCCACCATCTGCCCTGGCAGGATTCGAACCCAGGTCCCCAGAACATTATCTGGGTCTCTGGATTAACAGTCCAGTGATAATACCACTAGGCCATTGCCTCCCCGTATCAATCCTATCCCTAGGGACCATAACACCATAGTGGATGATTTTCCTAATTCAGTGCTTGATTGGTAATGTCACTCACTGAGGCTGTGGAATGTTGGAAAAAAAAATTTGGGATCATTGTGTCAACAGTGTACCTCAACCTTAGGACAGAGTGGAAGATCTAACACACACACACAAATATTTTTCACTTCTTATGCACCACTCCTGGCTGTGGCAAAGGTCACTTGTTGACGTTCTGCAGATCTTGCTAACATAGATGACTTCATATGAAAGGTGCTTTTTAATAAGAAAGGCCATAATTGTGCAGGCATGTTCTTGATTACTAACCCAAGAGTGAGTAATTGCCTTTTATCATAGGTGATTCCTGATTCCGATGCAGATCATGCAGGGTTGCAGGAGGGTGATCAGGTCCTTGCTGTGAATGACATTGACTTTCAGGACATCGAGCATAGCAAGGTAGGTGTCAGAGCAGAGAAATGTATCTATGTGAACCTTTAAGACTAAACATACATGGGGCAACAATTTTGAAAGTTTGTAACATCAATTCAGGTCAAGCAATAGGAACCACTGTTACATCATAACAGTTAATGATCTTTTTCAGTTCGGAGCCTGACCATAATACCAGTGTCCTAATTTGCTGAATGGATTAAAGTTCAGAGGAATATAAATTATTCTATAAAGTAATTAAATCAGTTAATATCAGACACAGCAGTGCTAATGTATGGATTCCAGTTCAGATAACTTATTTCTATTATTTAAACAAAACACTGCTTTTCACGACTCTCAGAAACAATTGTCTGCCCTTTTCCCTTTAGACCTTTGTTCTTGTTGAGTTATGTGTTTTTCTGTTGTATAGGCTGTTGAAATCTTGAAATCTGCCAAAGAAATTACCATGCGGGTTCGCTACTTTCCGTACAGTAAGTACAAAACTAATTGTAAAATTATTTTGAGTAGGCCATGAGGCCAGTTTTTGCCTTCATCAATGGAATATTGCTGATCTCAAGCTAGTTTATTTACCTTTGCATTTGAACCAACTGGTTTGGGTTGATAAGTAGATGACTTCGTGTTTATATGCTGTTAAATGAGGTTTATTACCTTAATCTGAAGAGCTGGATTTTAATAATTTTTTTTTTTAAGAAAAGGTTGTTCTTATTCTGTCTATGCTGTTAACTAGTGCAGGTGTCCTTGTGTCATCCTTTTGATACCGATGGAATAATTCAATATGTCAGTTAGTTAGTCTGTGTATGTGTGTGTGAGGGATTGGAGGCTCATCTGTTAAGCTGTCTAAAAAGAAATCTGGCCTGGAAACTAAGTTTAGTAAACTCTGGTATTTGCTGTGAAGTTATGATGAGTTTAGTTTGCAGTTTGTTTCAGGTATCTCGGAGAGATACTAGCTGAAGGAAAACAGTAGCTAGAACACACAGAAGTTTGCCATAAGGAAACCAAAAGCACTTTGTGGCAGTGGTGTCCCTTTGTTGAGGTTTGGGTGTTTGTAAGGATATTGCTAGAATAAAACTTTGAATCTTTTTATGTGGTTTGTAATTAAGTTGTTCGGGCTTTTTTGCTTAGTGTAGCATAGTTCTTTTCTTATTAAATAAACATTTTATTCTTTGTCAAAGTTAATTGACAATCTCTTGTGAAATATTTGATAACTGACATCCCATTAGGATCTAACAAACCAGGTTTCGCTCTGGGATCCAACCTGTCCAATATTAACACTAGTTGGAATTATAACAGTGTATATGGACACCCTTTATACCTCCACAATTTTAATTTGCTTACTGTTTAGAAAATATTCCAATTTATCTTTTCTGAACCAATGGATAACCTCTAACTATTCCTTATCAAACTTAGCTTACCACTGTTCATAAAATCCCTAGTGCAGAGAGAGGCTGGTTGACCCATTGAGTCTGCATTGACCCTCTAAAGACCTAGCCCCTGACCCTGTCCCAATACCCCACATTTCTCATGGCTAATGCACCTAGTCTGCACATCCCTGGCCACTATGGGCAATTTAGCATGGCCAATTCACTTAACTTGGACTGCGAGAGAAAATCAAAGCACCTGGAGGAAACCCATGCAGACACAGGGAACATGTGCAAACTCCACACAGCCTCCCAAGGCTTGAATCAAACCCTTGTTCCTGGTGCTGTAAGCCAGCAGTGCTAACCACTGTCCCAATTTCTTTAGAGGGATGACTTCAGTAGATTGCAGTGAAGTAGTTGCTCTGCTACTTAGGAAACTCTGAGCCAGAATTGGTATTGGAAAAGAAGCGATGCCCACAAAGCACATTCCTGCCCTGAATCAAGTGGCACTACACACCGCCTGGATACTGTTATTCCAGGCCAACCAGTAATCCGTGGCATTAGGGTTATTGTTTTGTTTAGGCAGTATCCTGGTTTAGAGGTGTTCAGTCAGAATCCCACAGATGGTAACTTCACACCATGGATTCCTTAGACAAGCACAGCCACCAAATGTCTAAACCTGCAGTTCCTCTTGTACTGAGCAGGATTACAATTGCAACAAAACGTCATCAGTAAAGTATAACTAATCTGTCCTCCGACTATCTAAACTCAGCTCACGTTCTCCATTAGCGGGTGAATAATCCAACCCTTGGTGAATTCTGCTTCATAATGATAGGAAGAGTCGACGTCCAAGGATCAAAAGGTGACATTGCTATGAACACTTGGCTGCCACAAGCCACTTTTCCCTGTGGTAACTTTTTTGACACCTGCTTAAAACCCAAAAGGTCAGAAGGATTGGTTTCCCGTTCACTTCATTTGTCCCTTTGCAATTTCCTATTTTCTTACGTACTATTTACTGTGTCGCCACTCTAGTGCCACAATTTGCAAATTTTGGAGGTACAACTCTTTTCATCTAAGTTATTTCTAAATATAGTGAAATACTAAGGCTCCAGTTCAAACCTCAGGAACATTATTTTTTACATCAATCAGGCCACGTACTCTATTTCTACCCTATTTGCTTTCTTCTCACCAATTTTCAACCATTGTTGCAAGGCTGCCTCCAATTAGATGCATTATCACTTACCCTCATTACACTTGCTCACTTTAACAACAAAATCAGATTAGATTTTCCAACGAGGAGTTACTGGACTCAACATTTACTCGGCTTTCTTCTCACAGATGATTCCAGACCTGCCGAGTTTCTCCAGCAATTTCTGTTTTTGTATCAGATTAGATGAGTCAGATGAGGCTACACAAATCTGTGGTCCAAATTTGTTCCAAGTTCTTAGTTAGCATGAATACAGATGCTAGTAGTTATTACATTGACAGGTCTTTTGTATCGTGGTTTATGTTTCGCCTATCATCTTAAATAATGGTGAGACATGAACAAAGTTGATAGTTTAGATTTTTACGCTTTCACCTTAATAATATTTTAAACTATTCCCTCCAAACAACTATACATTTAAAATAATTATGCATTGTAAATTAAGCAGTTTATTTAAATTCTTCTGACTATCTGTTGTCATTTTTCTGACATTTTCTCTTTGGCTTGTTTGACTGTTATACACTCTTGTCGTCAAGCAGGACCTGTCTCACTACTCAACGGTATTCTACCTTCCTAGCAAGGGTCTTCCATCTGCTTGAGAAAAGTAGAGAAAACTGAGAAAATTAGTATTCCTCATGACCTGGATCATGCCAACAGGAAAGAGATCATGTTACCAAAAAATGCTTTGAGTTCCATGGGGGAGATGGAATTTTGCTGGTTTGGGGTTCACATAACTTCTTTTTTTAACATTTGTTTTCTGATATGCTAGTTGTTGCTAGAGTTAATTTTCTTTGTAACCGGTGTCACTGTAGCTGAAAGGGTAGCTCTTTTGCTTCTGGATTGTGGGTTCAAGTACCCTTCCACAGGCTTGAGCATAAATTCTAGACAAAATCTGTTACGTGCTTTTGAATGCGACGTTATTGCTGCCCTGCATACCGCTGTAAGTGAATGTATAAGATTCCATTGCATAATTTTGAAGCAGAGGAGCTCTTCTTAGTGTCCTGGCTACGACTTATCCCTCAACCAGTGCTTAAAAATAAAATAACTACTGTACCTGGCATTATCACATCGTTTGTAGGAGCTTTCATTTTGCATATTGGCTGCTCTGTTCCCTACCTTGCAACTGTGCTGTTCAAAAACCCCAGCAACTATAAAAGTGCTTTTGGGTTTCAGGGTGGGGTGTTCTGAGGATATGAAAGACACTACACAAATGCAAGTTTTTTTTCCACTACCTCACTCAAGTGCCTGTTTCACATGTTTGGACAGTGTTCAGATGTCCTCTGCTAGCTATTTGTCAACAAAGCCTGATCCTGAGCAGTCCCAACACACATTATCCAGCAGTGATAATTGGGTAATTTTAAAGTAGATATTTATTCTTTTCTGGTTGACTGTCTTGGGATAGTTGTGGCTCCCTAACTGTGATCAACATCTAATAGCACCTATCAGAGATTAAGCCTGGGTTTTTCCTGTCTCTATGTGGCCGTACTGAATTGGAGTGCGTTTATCTGCCAAATCAAAGCTTCAAAATCTGTCCTTTTTATTTTTTTTGAAAAAAGGTTACAATTTAATTTGTAACAAAGCAAATTATAGTAAATATAGGTTTGAATAACATAAAACTCATTAAGGTGCTTTAAATGTGTGATCAAAAAAATAGGCACGGCCAAAGGAGGATATAAAGAGTGACCAAAACTTAATCATTAGTGAACTTCAAGGACTTTAAAGGAAGGGAAAGAAGTCAATGAAAACACTTCCCAGCAAGTCCTCATGGGTGCACAGGATGGCTATTGATTTGATTGAGTTTAACTTCATTAGTGGACTGGTTAACACATGCATTGAAGTTGACAGGGATTTAACATTAAATTCTTCATCCATTTAAAGTAATTTTTTTCAGCACTGTTCACTTAAAATATTTCTTGCATATCATTTGGTGTGTATATTTCATACATGTACTATAATATGTAGAATCTCAATTGTTGCTGGTGAGGGCTATGCTTTAAATAGACTACCTAAAAAATTTGAAAATCTGGTTCCTAAAGTACTTTTTAAACACTTAGATTCTGATGTAGAAGCTTTAGTTATTAAGGCTTTAAATTACCCAGCAAAAAAAAAAAATCTGCATCTTAAATTATCTCCTACTGTGTACCTCTAGTACAATATGCAGTGTTATCTGTACCAAATACAACTAAATTGCTCTGTGTTCACAAGAAAAGCTGTTTATTTTCTGGTGGTTGGCGTGCAGAATTAGGAGATCAGGGTGTCTTTGGCAAGGATCTAAACTGAGTGGGGAACAGCGTTTTTATTTTTTCCATCGACTAAGCTGAAAGTAGCAGATCATTGTTTTCCGCATAGGCAGTAGCAAGCGCTAATATTCCATACGTAAATTAATGCTTAAATCTCTTACTAATCAGGTAATCCACAAAATCAGAGGCTGTATTATATAAATGAAAGACATTTCTGCTGACAAAAATAAATCTGTTTCACTCGTTGGAGCATCTGTTGTTGCAGGCAACCTGAGCCGATAGCCCTTCCATGCAATATGGTTTTTATTTTACATTGCTAGTTTGAACAATGAGTTTGTGATGATAGAGTGAGGAAATAGTTAAAATTTTTTGTAGCATGCACTCTTGGAAGGTTGGAAGCTAATTAATTTCTTCATCTTAAATTGGATTGTCAAATTTTATCTGTTTTCTTTCAGACTTCCGCAGGCAGAAGGAAAGGACAGTTCATTAAAAGGAGGTCCTGCTCTGTTTTGAGATCTCTGCCTTAGAGATTATTGAAACGTTTGGTACTTCGAAGATGTCTGGTCAAATGGTTCAATAGCTAGAGAGATTCTGAAATGTGGGTTTTCTGTTTGGGATTTATAAAATGCCTCCTGCATTTATTTGACATTTCTAGGATTTAGTCATTTCTGTCAATGTAAAGTGTTAGGCTATTTTGGGGAAAACTGCAATGATTGCGAATTCTTGAAGTGAAATTCAGACAGTGCCTGGTTCTGCAACTGTCTTGGGAATCTAAAAGGAGTCTTAAACCTGATATTGTCAGAAGCCCAATCACTGCCACTGTTTTGCTTATCCCTATGTAGGATTGTCTTTCAAAGACACATGACTCCATTAGTTTTGTTACACAAGGTTGAAGTCTGTTGATTCAGTACCGTATCTTGTGACAATAAGGGCACAATTTTGTATGTTATTGCCACTGTTTATAATGCTTTCTACAGGTTGCACAACCAAGAAACTACTGTCTTTCTTTTCTGTTTAGCACTGGGAGCCGGTAGTCTACGCTAAATAAGTATATCTTTCAAAGCAGTAATGTAAACAGTTACAATTGTCCAGCTGATAGTTAGTGGGTGTCTGAGAGCAGTTAACATTTGAGGTGAATATCAGTTGTCGAGTAGATTGTAAATAGTTCGAACTGTCACATAGCATTGCTTGACCCATTCCGGATTTAACTGCATCTGTTTCAGTTCTTTCACTATAGATAGTTGCAGTATCATCGTGAAGTAATTGCAGGATTATGGTGCAGCCTCTTGGATATGTAAACTTTTAGAACATGACCCTCACAATTTATTGAATCAAATCCTTGATCAGATGGCTGAATGCAATGTGTGGTTTTTGATTTTTTTTCCTTGGATTTATCTGGCAATAAAGACCATGACACAGGCCCTCTGGCATGTCTAAAGCCAAAACATTGACTCTGGGAGGAAATCCTGAAGCACAGGAAGTAAGTGATTCAGAAAAATGCACATCAGGATCTTCTCTGTGGAAAAGAGGGGAAATCCTTGATAGATAAATCAGCCTCTGAAAACTATCTTCTTGAAAATAGTTAATTGTTGCATGTGGTAAATATAATTTTGGGATATACTATGGATAATACACAATAAATGTGTACATTTGTTAAACTTTTGAACCTCTTCTAATCATTTGATTTGTTGATCATGTGAAAATGAGCAGATTTCAAGTAGAGCTTTGACTCATGTTCTATTAAACAGCCTTAATTGTCCTTGTATACCATCTGCTGTACACAACTACAAACTGGAGAAATATTAACTATTTCACAATCTGAAAATCAACTCTTGTTTTAAATGATGCAAAGCATGTGGTTTTATTTCATCAATGTAAGTTTGTTCTGCTGCAATTTTTGTTACAGTCTGTTTAGTTATAATATCTACTGAAGAAAAGCACAGTGGAATAAAAGTAGAGTATCTTTAGTCCAAAAAGGAATTTAGTTCCTTTTTAAAATAGATACATTTAAGTCTATTTTGTGTGGCATCTGATTTTTGGAAGGCTGCTCAGTTTAGAGTCTTTTAAAGAAAAAGAACAAACATTGTCATTGTGATGTTGACACAACAACAAGAATCCTAGTATCAGCATTGATTGGGGGCCTACATTGACTATTGGAGATGTCATCAAGAAAGAATCACAAATCATTATTTGCCAGAATCAATTGTTGAGGAAACATCTTTACTTCACATGTATACTAACCTTCGACATCAAAAAAGAGGAATTAATTCTTTAGTAAAGTCTCTTCTACTACAATTGTTTCTTCATTGTAGTTGACATCTTCACAGCATCTTTTAAAATATGACATACATGCCCAACTAGAAGGGATTGTTTACACACGAGTTCAGCATCTTTAAGCTATATTGCTGTATTGAAAACTCCAGAAATACCATGGTGCTTTGCTAACATTGCATTAATAATTTAGATCAAAACCTATAAAATGTATCCAGGTAATTTGTCAAACAGGAAGACTTGTTTAATGTTCATTTCTTCTTGAATCAGAAAATGTTTCCCAGCATAGAATGATTATAGCACAGGAGGCCAATTTGACCATGTTGAAAGCAGCCCTCAGTAGGCACAATATCTTTCTCCCATTCCCTGCTGTTTGCTATCGCCTTGTGAAGTTTTTTCTCTCTCATCCTATTTTTCAAGTCTGTTGAATCTGCCTCCACCAGCCTCTCAACCAGAGAGTATTCCATAACCTAACCCCTGTGTACATTAGTTTTTCCTCCATGGAGCTTTTGCCAAATCTTCAGTTCTGAATCATTCCATCAATGGGATTAGTTTACCCTACTATTCTGTATGAAGCATTTTAAAATCATGTAAATTCCATCAATTAAATCAATAACCTCTTGAAGTTTATCATTATTTTCGTGATTCACAATACTTCTTTGTATCAATAGCAAGTTTTGAAGTTGAGCCTTGTTCACCCAATTTGGAGTCTTTTAATACTTATTAACCTCTGGGCAAACCCACTATATATTTTACTCCAGTCTTGAACTTTCATAACAAGTGCTTCTTGTTATTCAGTTAATTTCAGGAGCTCCAAAGAAGGGTCACAGGACCTGAAACATTAATGGGATGAGGGTGTCACTTACTGCCCATCCCTAGTTCAGAGTCAACCACATTGCTTTGGGTCTGGAGTCACACGTAGGCCAGACCAGGTAAGAATGGCAGTTTCCTTCCCTAAAAGGGTGTAAGTGAACCAGGTGATTCTGACAATCAGCAATGGATTCATGGTTAATCATTAGATCTTTAATTCCAGATATTTTTATTGAATTCTAATTGCACAATTCATGGCAGGATTCGAACCCATGTCCCCAGAATATTGTTATCTAGGTCTCTGGCTTAACAGTCCTGTGATAATACCACAAGGCCATCACCTTCCCTCAAGTGCTTCCAGATTTGCTGACTTTCTCCAGCAATTTTGTTTCAAATTTCCAACAGTTCTTTGATAAAAATAACAAAAAACTTCATATTCCTGTTAGTACTCATTTTTACATTAGCATTAACTTGTTCTCAAGGCTGTTTGTGGCACATTATTAAAAGCCTTTGGAAGCTTATGTACACAACTATATTGTCTAACTTGCTTTTTTTTAAAAAAAAAATTAGGTAGTTAAATGATTTGCCTGCAACATAGTCTAGTGGCTTTCCTTAATTGATCCATATTTGCCCAAATAAGTTAATATTAAGTGTTGAAGAAGCTAAGCAGATCTGGCAAGTGGATAGAAGAACAATTAAAGTTGTGTCCAACACGAGTCCTGAAGCAGTGTCATATTAGATGCAACATTAACAATCTGTGACATGGCACTGACCTGAATAGATGGACGTAGAACAAATCTTCAGTGAAAACTGGGTATGTGTGAACATGTTGCTCTATCAGCTACAGCAGAATTTTTTTATGCCAGCACAAAATGTGTGGTCTAGTAGCTTGGCACATTTCACCAAGCCTGAAGATGAGCCAAGTACAGGAGAAGCAGCAAAGAGAAAAGGCAGACGTATCTAAACAAAAAAGCTGAATTAAGATCACCTGCAATTCTTTTCAGCAAGGATGAAGTGAAGATGAATAACAGAAGATGGCTCCACAAAAATGGTCCATTCACAAATGATGCCAAGGCCCAGCACATGCATACAAAAACAATGGCCTGACTGGATGATTTGTCTTTACCGCCTCCTGAGGCCTCAATTATCTAGATGCTAATCTTCAACAAATTTGATTCACGTCATGAAATCAAATGCTCTAGCTGTGGCTTCAGCCAGAACTATATACACACACACCATACAACCAGGTTGTTCCAATACAGCTTAAAAAAAAACTGGTTATCTGCTTGACACAGTCACGCAAGTATGTAGTGTCCCCCAAAAAGCAGCGTAAATCCAGCATAAGTAATTACTGCCCCAGCAGTCTATTCAAGCACCAAAGTAATAGTTGGCATGAGAGTACTGTAAAATAGCATTTACTTATGGTCTTCCTAAGAAAGCTGGAGCATGAGAGGGTGGGAGAACTTTAGTAATATGGAATGATTAGTACTTTCTGGTATTAATCATTAAGGCCCAGGCAATGCTTTGCAGATTGTGAAATTTGGAATCAATTAGTAAATCTCCATTCATAGTGTAATGGTGAAATTATCAAATGGTCAGAAACTTTTGGTTCACTGATGTCATTTAAGAAAATTGGCCATCCTTATCTGGCGTGGCCAACATGTAACTCCAGCCCCTTGCACTGTGATCAACTGCCAATTATTCTCTGCCATGGCCTAGAAAACCAATCAATCATTCTACAAAATCCAGCAGAACAGACCGTCCAGCATAAGCAACACTAGCAAACCTAGCCCTGTTGATCTGGCAAAGTCCTCTTCAGTAATACTTGGGGACTTGCACCAAAATTGGGAAAGCTATCCCAAGACAAGCAAACAGCCTGAGATAGTCATACTCGCTGCATTAAAAACTTTCAATGTCCTAAGACACCATCAGCACTATCAGAGTATGATGTCTGTCCACTGTCTACAAGGCACAAATAAACAGCATGGAATATTCTTGCTGGAATGGATACATTTCCAACACAGAAGAAGCCTGGCATCTTGGCCAAAACAGCTTACTTGATTGGCAACCTATCCACCATTTTAAACATGCACTCCCCTCTGCCACCAACACACAGAAGCAGCAGTATACATACGCAGTACAGTAATTCCAATGCTCCTTCAACAGCATCTTCCAAATTCACAGCCTCTACCATCTAGAAGAATAAGCGCAGGAGATACACGAGAACACCACTATCTGCAAGGTCACCTGTTAACCACATATTATCTGACTGTCACTGGGTTCAAATACTGGAGCATACTTGGGCCGAAAGGCCTGTACTGTACTGTTCTATGTACTTCCCATAGTGCTGTTACGTGTCCCAAAAATGGTTCAAGGCAGCAATTCACTGCCTCCTTTTTATGGGGCAAGTAAATTTACACAATAGTTGCTGGTTTAGCCAGCAAAGGTCACATCCCATAAATTAATTTTTAAAAAAGTATATATACTTCGGTCAATTGGCATCAGGAGAAAGAGTATTTCCCTTTTTGCATCCAGTTTTATCTCACCCCCTCAAATTCTACAGTATAGCTTAGCTAGGATGAATGCCTCACTTGAAATCCGACAGGCCTGGCATAAATGTCAGATAGGAAATATGTACTGACACCATGTTTCACTGACTAAATTTTACTTGTAAGAAAATATTTTAAAGAAGAATTAGAAAGCAGTTTAGTAAAATGAAATGGAGTTAGAAACCACTTCATTATTATACTGATCATGATCCATTGCAAGAGTTCACAAATATAATAGCTATAGTATTCAAGTTCATACTTTTAAAAAAAGCAACATTACAACACAAAATTGACGTAAACATAACTAAGTATTTGTAATACTAGCATGATTTGTAATACTAGTATTTAGATTCAGAAATAGATTCAAGTATGATATTGGCAGTTATATTTGGAAGATTCTAGTGTCAAACAAAACTAACAATACCAGATATAATCTGTTCATCTGACTGAATCAATAGAAGCCACCTTGTGCAATTATTTCACTTTAACAATTGAAATATTTTCAATGGTCATTTTCTTTCTCCTTCAAGCAAGTCCAGTTAGTGTGCTGGTAAATTATGCAATCATAAGTGAGGTGAATGGAGGGGAATATTATTATACTGATCTTTATTCAAACAATGACAAATACCAATACATAATGTGAAATGTGATGTAATTTATCCTAACCAATTACAATTTCCAGTTGCCAAAAACTGTAAAAGTATTAGCTGTGAAACTTTACTCTTCAAAGAAAACAATAAAGGGAGTGCCTGAATTTATATTTTCCCTGAACAGGCACCAGAAGCCCTAATATGTCAAGATAAATGACTTAATCCAATTAATGTATCAAATATTTAAAGACATGCAGTGTGTTTGTAGGTGGTGTACAAACATGTCAGCATTGAATCCTTTTTGATCAGTTAGATACAGGATAAAGGTTTCTGTAAATGCGATCAATGTACCCTAATTGATATTTCAGGAAACAGTGCCCTACAGTGTACAGCAGTTTTTTTTTTAAAAAACCCAAAACAGACCACCTATTTAATCAGTTTTAATGAGCAATTAAAAAAGTAATCCTTAGTCAATAAAGCTAAAAAAAATTTGAAAAATCATGGGAACAGATATTTCTCTTTGTTCCTTCTAATAATGTTTAGGATGTGGCAATTGGGAAAAAGTACACTACCCACTTTCAAACATTTATTGTTTGGTTTTAAGTGTCTTTTTACTACTACAGATTAAATTTTTTGACAGAAGTCATGTATTAAACAAGGATACACAAATGCCAAGTGTGCTCTGCTAGCTTGTTCAAGTAATCACTTATTTGGTGATCAGAAACATCGGAGAATCTCTACAACTATGTTCTGTTACTTTGCAGAAAAGCCATGGAAACCCCAGGAGAATGGCATTGTCTATTCAGGAATTCTACCACTCTCCCAATGTTAAGTGAAAAAGTCTATGCTGACATACTGGGAGCCCTGGTTAGCTTTCCATTCTAACAGGACACTTAAGCTAAATGAGAGATCTGATCATTGACATACCCAAGATCTAAAAGCTATACTTTAAATTTATTTGTTCTCTGACAACCTACTCCTATAAATTCAAAAAACTCTATTACAACATCCACATATAGAACACTTGCCAGTCCCAGTTGTTAAATGGTAATTTTCATTTGCACAATTCAAATTGTCTTAAAGATTTGCTAAATACAGCTTTTGCTTAATCTCAGATATATTTGCATATACAGAAATTTAGCGGAGAGTTATGTAATGAAAGGAAACTGAAGCCAGATTTCTTGTCTGATAGTTGCAGATTTAATTCAAAGACTTTCTCAGACAGTAGCTACTGTTGTATGGATACAAATGACTTAGATAATCAGTGTCATATAATACAGAACAAAATACAGATGCATGTTAAAATATCTTGATACTGTGCAATTCTGTGCTGTATGTAATTGTTTCAGAGATAAAGTCTACATTAAAATAAATCTTGTCTCATTTGATTAAAAACATGAACTTCACATAAACAGGACAGCCAGAGGAACAACTAATTGAATTGAAAATAGCTTCCTTTTCTAGTTCAATGTTTTTGAAAAATCACCGTAATTGTTTTGTTTAAAAAAAACCAAATCAAAACGACATACGAGATACTAAGCACATCCAACAGGCAAATAATTCCTCTCTCAAAGTTGAATGAAATACAAAATTGCACTTAGGTCTTTCATCCATGAGATATCTTGAGTAGGCTGGGATGGGGTAGGAAAGAAGGAGCAAGGAGGGAACCTACTCTTTAAAAAGAAAAAAGGAAGTTTTAAACTTTTCAGCCAGTGTAACTCAGGTAGAGTTGATGAATAAGCAGAATAACATCTCTTAAATCAACCCATGATCAATCAGATGATGATTCAAGGATATAAAACTAACAGTATATGGATATTTTCACAGCTGAGTTAGCCATATAGGAGGGGGAGGATACACAAAATTTGGAAAGATTTGACAGCAATAACATGAAGATACAGATATTAGAACAACTTCCAAAGATTTGGCAATCCTCTAAATAAGACAGGGTACGAGTGAAGCCACATTCTGAATGTAAAAGTGCTTTAAAAAAAGAAATGACCCTAGGATTCATCCCTGAATTTTGGGATAGTATCTATGAGCTCCCTTTTGATTTATGGTGCAGGCAAGAGAAAAATACACATCATAAACATGCAAACACTGAAGATGTTTTTTTCCTCTGGTTTTTCCAAGTTTAAGAAAAACACAATGTAAGCATTAAATATGCTCCATTGAATGCAAGTTATGGGCTCAGCTTTCTACTTTAATATTTTTAATTAGCACACTCCTATCACATTTACAGGAGTTAGAAGCTAGGAAATTAACAAACATTTGGTAAATCAGTGGGGTAAACAAATATACTGGCAACACACCAGTATAATTGCTAAAATTTCAGGAAAACAATGAATGGGTGCGTGAAATTTTCACACTTGGCCCTTTGGTGATTAGAGTAACCTAGCATGGCAATCCCAAATTTTAGACTGGAAAGGTTCAGTTGAGCAATGGGTGACAGTGATTACCATGTCGTAACAATTTGAAGTGAACCTCACAAAGTTTGAGCAAGACATTGAATTGGCTTCAGCATAATTTTTGCTTTACATACAACAACCCTAACTGACAACACTGCAAAAACTACAGAAGTGACAATATTGTAAGGGTCAATCGATAGCTGAATTTCTTTAGAAAACGTTTCTACAGGACAAAAAGCCAGTGTATAACAGAGACAATGCATTCGTACCCAAAATGGCACCGAATGACTCAGCAGGAACAAGGATCTTTTCACAAAAATAGAACTTTTTTTCAGCCTGTTTGAAACATTTAGGGACCTCAAAACTAGCAGATGCATAAATAACATGAGGTGGATCCTTATCAACCACACATTACTCTCAATAAATACTCTCAAATTGTCATTTTTTGGATACAACCACTTATTGGTTATGAGGCAGGGCAGGGTATCCACTTTCCTATCATCAGTGCCTTATAATCAATCATTTGAGAGCTGTATTAGCATTACAGATTCCTAATAAGGAAATAAAAGGCAACGATATTTAGAAATAATGATTAGAACTGCATTGGCAGTTCTTTAGCAGAGACTATTTCATTGGCAAAACCAAGTTACTAAGCATATCTTTAAGTGTTTTCCGACTCATGCACCTACTAGAATTTTGAGGTCCCAAAATTCTCTGCAGTTATTTCAAAGTTGCTCATTTATTTTCAACAGTTACAAAAATCCACTTTACAAAATACCCCTAAATTCCAATTCCAAGATTTTGTTCTCAAAATATATCCTCTTCACTCACACTTAATTTATTTAATGCCAGTGCTTCTATTGCACTATAACATCTACATTGTCTGTATGATTACTGTAGGCACCTTTAGTTCTGTTGGACAATATTTTTTGAAGTTCAGGAAAGAAAATTAGGGTCCTGCCTTAATATTCCTTTGATTCACATTTAGAAGCAAGCATATTAAATTTATTGCTGTAAGGGTTCATTAACAAGCTGAAGAACAATATACTGATCTCTTAAGGCTATTGTAATTTTTGAACAAGTAGCTGTCCGTTCTTGCAAATATAAGATTGTAGAAAATATGATCCACAATCATGTCTCCTATTTTGAACATACTTCAATAGCAGTTAAACTTAGTTACTATTCAACTGACTAAAATGATTGCAGATTGACTTAACCATCAAGGTTTAAACAGTGAAACAATAAGCAGTTCCTTTCATGTCAGGAATCAAAAATAGTGCAGAGGTGTGTTCTAGGACAGTGTGTTTCAAGTACTGTTATATCTACTAACTGCTCAATTTTGAACAAAACTTAAACTCTGCTGCCAACATTATAAAACAAAGCATTTGGGTGCTGATTGGTTATAAGCTTCGCTATTAATAATTACTCATTTAGGTCTAACCAATTTAGATGTGAAACCAGCCTAAAACTTGCTAGAGAATTTTATTTACCTCATCTGTCCTATATTTACTGTGTATAACATGTACACAAGCCTGTATATGGGGCTACCCCAATTCCATCAAGACTGCAATTGATTGTTTTCCCAAGGTGATATGAAGGGCAACATAGGAAGTTTGTATTCATCAAAAACATTATCTTATTGCCAGTTGACATCCATTATGCATTTTTCCCCACTATTTTTCATTTCAACGTGCATGCCCTTGCTCAGTTGTACATCTGCTGCCGAGTCTCACATATTTAAATATTAACACTCCACTTCAGTCTTGATTCCCACTGCAAATTGTAAAATCTCTCTCATGCATTACCTTGCTGCACGCTCAGATTTTATTTTAAAAAAAGACAGTGAGAACCTGGTGTTAAAAAGGCAGGACTTGGGAAGGAATATTTCAATTTAAATATCAAACCATTAAAAAAAAAGGATCCTCAGACTTTGAAGGAATTGCTCTGCTAGGAGAGAAACAGACCCCCTTAATCCCCATGTTGAACACCAGACGCCCAAGTCTTTTAAATGAACTTTTTGTGGAAAAAAAACAAAGTTAAGTGAATGGTGACTATTAGCAAAGGTATCAATAACTAATCTTAGGATTAATATTTTCTTCACTTACTTTAACACAGTGTAGTGCAAAATTTAAAAATTGTGACCCTACAGAACACAAACAAGAACTTTCACTCCACTCAGTAGTTTAAAAAGAGTAGAGAATTACTGTTCATAAAAAAGAGCACGATGATCAGAACCTTATTACATGAGGAGATAAGATGCTCCAGTCTAAAACTGGGACAAGTAATTTTGTTTCAAAAATACTTAACTAAAACATTTTCAAAGTGACTTTGAAATCAATATCATATAATACTTGTACATACTCTTTCAAACCCTGTACACATGTAATTCAAGAGTCCTACAACCTCACTAAAAAGGAGAAATTTCAAAGAATCCTTTCACTACCCCAACATAACATTTCCGAAAGATGCATTCAAAACTAAATAAAATCACAGAAGTCATTTTCATGCTGTTCCTTCATTTTAACATGTCACTACTAGTATTAACCCTAGGGTGCACAGATATTTAATTTATTGCCTGAATGTCATTCTCTATATATAAACACACATTACCTTGGTTCAATGACAGTTTTCTCCCCAATCATTAATTCAATCCACAATTAAGAATTTTCCTCCCAAATTCCAAGAACTAATATGAACTCCTGCTGACTCCTCCGCAGCATCCCCAAACATCAAGGGCCTACAGCACCGCAAAAGAAACATTGCAACATGGTTTCAGTCTTTTAAGCCCTTAGTTCCACATTCTTCTTCATCACTACCATTGTTCTCTTCAGATAGGCCACTTTCATCAATATTTTCCAGTGAATCTGCATGCTGGATTGAAAGTTCAGAGAGGCTCATGGTTGGCAAGGTATTTTGTTCTGGGTAAAGCCAAGGTTTGAAGTCTGGCCTGTTCTTCTGTTTCCATTCAGGATACTTCAAACACACTTTATGGATTCTCTTCAGAACCTGAACCACACACAAATGCAGGCATATCAGCATCTGAATTACACAACATGTTGGTATTCTAGAAAATCCCCAGAACATGGTTAGAGTATTGGATGAAATAAAAAGCTTGCTAAACATTTCTGGCAGAAGAAAAGTTAGTATTGCACACCATTCCCAAAACAGGACAGCAATATATGTATTTAAAAAGTGATTGACAATAGCCTTTGTTATTTATTTCTTCATGGGAATAAAAGGAACAATATTTTAGTTTTAACAAGTATAATTTTTTTTTTTTAAAAATACTGCCATTTTCAATTCAACAGATCCAATTGTTTATTGAACATTGGTCTATAAAAATCAATCCAGGAACACAGTCTCCAAGGTGATTACTACTTACTTTCGGAGCAAGATACTGAGAAGCTTTGTTGACAACCCATTTTGGAAGAGACCCTGAAAGAACAATCCAGAATTATTCAATTGGTTGCAGGAACTATGAACAAAGCCCAAATGTTAAAGTGAGGGGTCAATAGATCCTTCAGAAAAACAAAAGTGAAAATACAGTTAAGGTGAAAACAAAATTGAATATTATAATTAACAGCAATGCCAATTAGACTGGGCAAAGGAGCTTTCTTTTCTCAGCTGAAACTATTAAAAATTTTTGATATGTAAAAATCATGATTTTTGGCTTAAATGGTTTGAACTAGGAACTATTGTTTAACTGCAATTCCAGTTGATACTGGAAGGTAAATCAATAAAAGGTTCCCGTTCTTAATCATTACTCAACTTTTAGAGTAAATGGAATTAGGTCTTGCTGTAATAAGCCCCTGACGCTTGTGAAATATGCTGCTAAAAATTCACATAGGCTCATACGCAATCATGAAGGATGAGCTAACTATACCCAATGAAAGAAATCGAGACTTGAAAACTGGATTAGACAGTGAGAAAGAGAAAAAAAAACCCAGCTCTAAAAGTAAAACGGGAGCAAGAATATGGTTCAGCCCTCAAACCTGTTCCACCAATTGATAAAATCATGGCTGGTGTGGTACAACATATCCATTTTGCAGTCCGATCTCCATATTCCTTGACATCCATAATCTAAAAATTTACCCATCTGTCTTGACTCAAATTAGTAAAAAAGTCAACATGTTTTGACATCCTAAGTTTCATACTGCAGTGTTACTGCTGTCAGTACTCACCTTTAGGATCTGCCTCAGCCATATACACAAGATTACAACTTTTGGACCCAGTAGGTAGGACTCGGTAACCTGTTAGAATGGACACAGCTCTGACTAGATCTTTCTGGGGAGGATATTTCTGTGAAAGGGAAGGGAACTGAGGTTGAGAATGCTGGTCTTTGGTAACTGAAACTTAGCACAGACAAAAGCAAATGTTAACATCCATAGGTGAAACCAGACCATATGCATGCTTTCATGCAAAATCTGTAAATACTAATTACCTTCCACTTATTTATTCAATTTATTGGATTAGACATACCCTTTGAAAAAAAAACAAAAATGCAATATTACAGTTGTTGTTTAGGATGTTAGCCCTAAAATTCTGTGCAGTAGTAACATTTCACTTCTGCAGTCATCCTCATTTTCAGAGCTACTGACTTAAGGAATAGAGCCATCGACATGCACGGCAAGGAAACAGACCCTTCAGTCCAACTTATTCATGCCTACCAGATATCCTAAATATATCTGTCCCATTTGCCAGCATTTGGCCCATTTCCCTCTAAACCCTTCCTATCCATATACCCACCCAGATGCCTTCTAACTGTTGTAATTGTTCCAGCCTCCACCACTTCCTCTGGTAGCTCATTCCATACATCCACCACCCTGTGCGAAAATGTTGCCGCTTCGGTTTCTTTTAAATCTTTCCCCTCTCACCTTAAACCTATGCCCTCTAGTTTTGGACTCCCCCACCCCAGGGAAAAGACGTTGTCTATTTACCCTATCCATGTCCCTTGTGATTTTATAAACCTCTATAAAAGGTCACACCACAGCCTCCAACACTCCAGGGAAAATAGCCCTAGCCTATTCAGCCTCTCCTACAGCTCAAACCCTCCAAACCTGGCAACCTACTATCGCTCAACATCCTTGTAAATCTTTAAATGAACCCTCAAATGATGTCATTAATTTCTTCAAGACTTCTCTAACTGCTATCTTTCCTTACTTTCCAAAACCTCAAGACTTTGTTTTTTGACAGTACCTTCCTTTAATCACCTCCCCAAATTCCTATTTAAACATTGTTTTAATGATCTGTCTGTAAAGCACCTTTTGATATCGAATTAAGGATTGAATAATGAGTCTTTTTTTTCACCTCATTATCACAATGGAGAAAGTACACTTAGCATACAGGTAAATAAATGTCAGGTTCACCCTTCAATTTGTACAATTAACTGGTAGACAGTGCAGCATTAGGGCAACTCTAACGTGGCTCACTATTCAACCTCAGGAGCACTGTTTCCACTATTTTAAAAGCATTACACGTGATTTGGAAAAAGAAATCAAAACCTAATTACCAATTTGAGACCCATTATTTTTAAATGTCAAGAAAACTACACTGGCATCCTAAATGGCAACCAATCATTTAAAAACCCCTAGAATACTTTCACAATGTCAGACATTAAACACCTAATGCAGAAGCAAAATACTATGCATGTTAGAAATGTAGAAAATGCTCAACAGATCTGTGGCAAGAGATAAACAGAGTTAATTTTCAAGTTTGTGACCTTTCATTGAAATGTTCTGACAAAAGATTACAGTCCTGGAACTTCGAATGAGATTTGCCAAGGCAGCAGGAATCCTGCTATTTTCTGGGGCTACCTCTCTTTGGCAATTAGTAGAAACTGGAGAAACTTTTTAAACAGGCAAGAGGTGATTAAGTGGTTGCCACAGGGAGCTGCCCACAAGAGTTACTGGTGTAAACAGAGGGCTAACAGCACCACAACCAGGAGCACTTGATGATATTGGAACTATATCTGAATGAAGAGCGCACACATTGATATGCCCCTCAGAACCAGGCATTGGAAGCATGCTAGAAGGTCATTACACACAGTACGAATGCTAGAGTCATCTTTCTGTCTTTGTATATAGAGGAGTATACAACCCCTCCACCTCTCCCATTGAATCCAGTGAAAAGCTCAGGTTTTCCAACAAAGTGGAGATTACCCCCTCTCAATTAGCCAATTAAGTAGGCCAATTGAGTTGAGGTGAACCATTTGCCACCTGTCCTGTTCCTGGCAAATTGGTCTGGTATCAAAGTCTTCAGGCATATGCCACACCATTTTGTCAGCCTCTCCACATCAAAACCCCCAAACCCAAATGCCTCAAATTCAATGATTCACTTCATTTTTTCCTGTCTGCCCAGACGCTGCCAGATCTGTTGAGTATTTCAGTAGTTTGTGTTTTCATTACCAAAACACAAGACTCCTCTAAAAAAGTTTAAGTTACTGATGCCTGAACTATAAAATCAGGGCATGTTCAAGGTTCTTCTACATTCCATTGGTGCAGCTGATCCCAAGTGTGCTGCCAATTGCATTTTCAGTATAAACAGCAAAGACCAATATCCACAAATTTGCTGTTAAACCTCCCTGCTCTAAGAAATGAAATGCTAGTAGCTTTGAGCATTTGCACTATTGGGGTTAAAATGTAGCACTCTCTCAGGTCAGCATCAACCACCAAATCTAAGACAGGCACATTATATTATAATGTCAGATCTCCAGCATCCACAGAACTTTGCTTTTATACTTCATATTGATGCTGCTTTACCAAACTGCAACAAATTCTTAAGCAATAGGATGCTCTTGTTTCAGTATGATGTTATATCAAGATCCTTGTTGCTATATGCAGTTCTTTTCCCTTCATTTGTGGAACATATTGGAGACAGATAACTTTGAAACATACTTACAGGGTGTTTCACTGAGTAGTTGATAATCATGTAATCATTATCCGTGACCAGCCATGATCTCAAAATAACCACATCCCTGTCTTTTAGGGGTCTTGGACATTTCCCTACGAGGAAGGCAGCAAAATGTCATAAAGAGCTGAACTTTTTTTTTTAAAAAAAAACAAAGCACAGTATTTCATATCATACATCATCCCTGATCAAAACAGCATCTAGCAGCCTACTCTTGTGGAAATCTGTTAATATCATACAATACTACCATAGTTAGTTGGCTGTAATTTCATTTTTGGACTCAGTTGGGGAGGAGAGGGGAGGCATTGGGTACACAAAGGCATCCCCTGGCAACAAGGATTACCTCCAAAGTATTACCAATGCTGCCTAATGACCTCCTATTACACCTTAATTGCTTGACATAACCAGGAGCCAAGGCCCAAAGCAGGGTGTGAATTTATATTCAAAACTGACAAATCTTGTGAAACACTGAGAAAAATCTATCAACTCAGTGCTCTGTCCTATCTCCCTGATCAAGTAGATAGTAAAAATCCCATGACTGTAGCTGAAGAGCAACTTTTTAAACTAGCCAACATACTTTTCTCAATGAACACCAGCAAAAAAAAAGCTAAATGATTAATCAGTTGCTAATTCAACATGATTTCCACTTTTCACTACATAATAATTACATTTTAAACTCATTTTTGAATACAGCATTGAGACACTTTGAGAACATTAGTACTTGTATAAATAAAAGATTTCTTTAAAAAAAATTAGGTACTATGTCCATTGATGGTGAGATAGCTAAATTTCCACAAGCCACATCCCTTCCAAACACCTCAGTAGCATAGTTAACATTGATAACGCCTACTGGGTAAGGCCTATGGCAGATCCAAGCCACATTGATGCAATTAAGAAAACCTCTTAATAGGTCAGTTTACTCTCAGAGACCCTCAAGTCTTGTCACATGTAACAAGCAGTACTGTCAAAAAACAATAAAACAGATGATCCTAATGCTTTCTCTACACCCACCCCAAATGGGTGATTCTTCAGTCATCCTTTTAAAAAAAAAGGAGACTACATTCCAAGAATGCAGTTCACTACTACAGCCCCTCCAAGCTGGAATTGGCACAGATTTATCAAGGCCATATAAGCTTCTGTAGCCTACCCTAACATTCAATAATTCATCTGCATACTACAGTTCAATAAGCACCAACTTCCTTTTTGACATTTTTTGAGAGAATGGACAGTGAATCCTGACAAGTTATTCAACAAAGAGCATTAAGTCTATCCTCAATTAACATCCAAGCACTTGCCAGGATGACTCATCATGTAGTAAACTTCTCCCTTCAATCCAGTAGCACAAGGACAAATTAGCAACCCCACTGAGGGAATATAACCAGCCTTCTGGTCTGTAGAGTTTAATTCTATAGGGATTCACTTTGCCAACTGCATCTCAACATCTCTGTATAGAAACTGACATGAGCAAACCAAGACAGCAAGACTCATTTGTCTGAAACTCAGAAACTGACATGACAAATAGGCATTTCAAGGGCTTCTATAATATCTCCCAGTAAGATGATCTTCTGGATATTAGTTAAACATTACCCAAGGGGTTATCAGAATATAGTGAGTCATATGTACATCTAGCTGTAATTTCAACAATTGCCGATTCACTTCTTGGAGAAGCAGCACATAATCACCAAATAAGTTTGTGAATTCTTTGAATAAACTTACATGAATAATACCCGACATCTGCATTCGCCGTGAGCCGTGCAATGTCAAAAGTCTTGATGACCTGCTTATCCCACTTGAGGCGGTATTCGTTATCATGTAGCACATCATACACAGTCTCTGCAGAAGTGTCTTTAAGTTGAATTCTACACTGAAACAGGAAGAGGAATGAGTTGTTAAAGTCTCATAGGATAATTCTTTTTATGATTGTGATTAAGAGAAGATAATACACCAGCACTCTTAACACACTGTGGCACCAACATAAACCACTCCCTAAATGAAATTCTTGGAGCACTGTGCTCTTAATGTCTGGTATAACACCTGGAGAGGTTGCTGAATATTTCCAGGAAAATGAGCAAGAGAAAGTGGAACAGAAAAAAAAAGTGAATTTGAATTCTGAATATGTATGTGCAGGGTAAACAGAAAGAGAAAAAGCTGCAAAACTTGAGCAGTAGTTCCTTAACATTTAATTTTTCTTCTGACATCATATTTCTGTAATTTCTAAGAGGCTATTGCTAACCAAGTCACATTCAGGACCTTAACTTTAGATCAACTGCAATTGCAAATAAATCACTCAATGTATCAAAGGCAAGATATTGGACTTTTTAAAAACCGAAGATTAAACTCTAAAAATTACTTCTGACAGATGACATAGATAGGACTGCAAGAAGATATATACTCAGACATACTTCACAGAAACTGCTCCTTTCCCCAAAACCCTTAAAGATTCAGATTTTCATTATTTTTATGTAACAGCTTGACATGTTATCACACTGTGGCCATTACATCGCGAGGCGAGATTTGAACTCAGATCTTCTGGCCCAGTGATAGGGAAACTACCATTACACCACAGGACCCTTAGGTTCAGATTTCATTTCAACTTTTGACAGAGGGTTCATCAGACACCTTCATTTTCTGATCACATTATTTTCTATACAACAAGGTTTCACTTCCCTGTTCATTACAGCAGACTTATGACTAGCACTTGCCCTGTTAACAACTCATGCCAGCAATTATCAGATCCTTTTCTATGTCAGGACAGGAAAAAAGCAGAAATGACATTCGTTTAACTCACTTAGGTATTTTGCAGAGCAATTACCTATGTTTTGTCTGCAAAACTGACCCCGAGCTTCTAGTTGCCTGCCACTTCAAACACACCAACATACTCTTGCCAACATCTGTCTCAGGTTTGCTGAAATCCTCTAGTGAAGCTCAGCACAAGCTGGAAGAACAACACCTCTTTCTGTTTGGTGACCCTGCAGCCTTCAGGACTTGATATCAAGTTCACTAAATTTATGCTTCGGCACCTTCTCCCAACCTCCCCACATTAGGCCTTATCATCACAGTCTGCTACCACAAACAACCTATTGTCAGCCACTTATGGTTCCCATTAGCAGCTACTGATTCTCCCAGAGTGACCTCTACCCACTCCTTTGTGTTTCTCTCCCTCTCACTGGGCTGCATCTCCACTTATCGTTTACTACTACTCCTCCTCCTCGGTCCCCATCCCAAACCTTCTCTAATATATACCAATTCTTTTCCCCCAGTTCTGAAGAAGGGTCGCTGGACCTGAAATGTTAACGTTGGTTCCTCCCCACAGATGCTACCAGACCTGCCGAGTTGTTTGAGCAATTTTGCTTTTTGATTTCCAACACCTGCAGTTCCTTGGTATTTTTGTTTAACTCACCGATAAGAACAAAAAGGGTGTGGAAATGATCAGTTTTCTGCTGATGTACTGCAGGTTTGACAGAAGTTCAAAAAATAGTTGGTTTTCAATGCTGTGAAGGTTTGATTTTATTGAAGAAAGGGGTCAGAAAGTTATTTGGAATAGTGAGATCAAGACAGCCGTTCCAAGAAGTGTGGCTTAAACTAAATGACTCACAGACTGCCTATGAGTAATGGCTGTTTATGGTTTACTTAAGCTTTTATGTCCTACAAAATGAGGTCAGGAGTCAGAAGCAGGTGACAGTTCAGCAGTTTAAAAAACTCTACTAGCAAATGTCCTCCTTCAGGGCTTAAATGTAGCCAAAGCTAAGAGTTTATTTCTTGGAATTCAGCAAGAAAAGCCAGCAATTTAGCCTTTCAAATCTTTCCTTGAAAGACAAAAAAACCCATTCCAGATATACAGCTAGTAAATCTTCTCTGAACTTGGTGTCTTGGTGAAGAGAATTTAATGGAGAGAATCATGTCCAATGAATGTGCAGAAAGCCACAAAAAGAAAATGCTTGCAACTTCATCAGTTGGGATAATTAGTAAAGTTAATAGGATGTTATCACTCATCACAAGAGGAATTGGATGCAAAAGTAAGGAGGTTATACTTCAGGTATACAGGTTGCTGACTGAGATTGCATCTGGAGTACAGTGTACAGTATTGGACACATTGTTTAAGGATATAAAAGTACTGGAGGCAGTTCAGAGAAGATTTACTATACATAAGGAATGGGGGCTCTGTCTTACAAGGAAAGGTTTGATTGGCTAATCTTATATCTACTGGAGCCTAGAAGACAGAGGTGACTTGCCTAAAACATACAAGTTAGAGCATTCTCAAGAGGATTGAGGAGAAGAGGATGTTTTTTAATCTTAAAAGAAACTAAGATTAGGGGACACAAGTTAAAACAGTGATTTAGCTCTTTTTCTCTCAAGAGGATGGTTAGTGTTCGGAATTCTCTAGAAGGTGGCAGAAGCAGAATCTTTGAATTTTTTAAGGCAGAGGTGGATAGATCCTTGTTTAACAAGAGAGTGAAAAGTTATTGGTGTAGGTGGAACATGGATTGACATTCAATCAGATCAGTCATGATAACACTGACTAGTGCAACAGACTTTGGGGGCTGATTTGCCTACTCCAGCTCTTGAATGTACATATAAAACGTACAAATTAAGACAGCAAATAAAAAGCAAGAAGCAGCTGAGCAGCATAGCAGTAAGATGAGTGGAAACCAAGTGGTGACAGAAAGAGAGAACATATTAAAATAAAAGGTTCTTCAGGTAGAAGTGTTAAGGTTCAAAAAGAAGGTATAGAAACTAGCATAAGGGCACTTTACTTGAACACTCATACCATTCATAAAAAGTTAGATGTACAGCATAGCAACAGACTCTGCGGTCCAGCTTGTCCATGCCAACCAGATATCGTAAACTAATCTTGTCCCATTTGCCAGCATTTGGCCCATATCCCTCTTTAACCCTTCCTACCCAAATACCCATCCAGATGCCTTCTAACTGTTGTAATTGTACCAGCCGCTACTGTTTCCTCTGGCAGCTCATTCTATACATGCACCGCCCTCTGTGTGAAAAAGTTGCCCCGCACGTTCCTTTTAACTATTTCCCCTCTCACCTTAAACCTATGCCCTCTAGTTTTGGACTCCCCTACCCCAAGGAAAAAGACCTTGGCTATTCACCATATCCATGCCCCTCATGATTTTATGAGCTTCTTTAAGATCACCCCTCAGCCTCCAATGCTCCAGGGAAAATAGCCCCATCCCACTCAACTTCTCCTTATAGCTCAAACCCTCAAAACCTGGCAAGATCCTTGTAAATCTTCTCAAACATTTCAGGTTTAAACAACATCCTTCCCATAGTAGGGTGACCAGAATTGGACACTGTATTCCAAAGGCAGCTGAACCAATGTATCTGTAATGTTTATAAAATCATGAGGGGCATGGATAGCGTGATTAGCCAAGGTCTTTTCCACAGGGTAGGGGAGTCCAAAACTAGAGGGCATAGGTTTAAGCTGAGAGGGGAAAGATTTTAAAAGGGACCCAAGAGACAATGTTTTCACGCAGAGGGTGGTCCATGTATGGAAATGACACTAAGTGGTGGAAGCTGGTAAATTACAACATTTAAAAAGGCATCTGGATGAGTATATGAATAGAAAGGGTGCTAGTGAGGCCATACCTGGAATACTGTGTAGTTTTGGTCTCCTTATTTGCAAAAGGATGTACTGGCACAGGAAGGGGTGCCAAGGAGGTTCACTAGGTGGATTCTGGAGTCGAGAGGGTTGGTTTAATGAGGAGAGATTGAGTAGCCTGGGAACCATACTTTTGGAATTTAGAAGAATGATGGGGTTCTTATTGAAACATAAGAAATTATGAAGTGAATAGATATGAGAGAAACAGGGAGGTTGTTTCCACTGGTGGGTGAAACTAGAACTAGGGGGCATAGCCTCAAAATAAGGGGGAGCAGATTTAGGACTGAGGTGAGGAGGATCTTTTCTCCCAAATCTGTGGAATTCCCTGCACAGTGAAGCAGTTGAGGCTACCTTGGTGAATGCTTTTAAGGCAAAAATAGCTAGATTTTTGAACAGTAATGAATTAAGAGTTATGTTGAGCAGGCAGGTAAGTGGAGCAGAGTCCACAAAAAGATCAGCTATGATCTTACTGAACGGCAGAGCAGGCTCAACAGGCCAGATGACCTACTCCTCCTATTTCTTAGGTTTGTTTATTAAAAGTACACTGACAGCCTCATGTGAAAATGTTCAGTGACTGACCACAGAAACCAAATTGTAAAAATAAGACTGTCAAGCCAGGTTTCACTCTGGAATCAATATTAGCATCAACTGGGATCACAACACTGGGAAAACTATTCTTTTTTAATCTTAAAAGCTATGAGCTTTGTATATTAGATAAGGACTATCTGTATCTTAAAAAGTGAATTCCATTTCTATTTACAACCAATGCTGGTTCTAGACTATTTTCGTAAACTAGCATCATGTCAAGCCAAATGCTGTCATCATTCTGGAGGATACATATTTCACTGTTCACTCACTATCGAAACCCTAATGAGATAATTCTACCAAATCAATGTTAACCAAATTTAATTGCAAATTCTAATGACTACATGCAATGACTCAGCAGGTACACATTAGCTGACAGAAGATGGGGCATAGAATCTCAGAAAATGGACAGTTTAGAGCAGCTAATTTCATTTTCACATGCATGCCTCTTAACTTGCTCACAACGTTTGCAAGTTAAATGAACAACAAACAAGCAAGCAAACAAACAAAAAAGTACCAAAGTTCTCTAATAGGGGAGGTTTATAAACGATTTATTCCTTTGGGAAAATTAAAACTTTGTGATTAGCAATGAGACACACATGGGGATAACTTTGCCCTTTTCACACAAAAGTAAGTTCTCATTCTCTGAGATTAATTCCTTC